CATGTGAATATGTTGTGGAAGAAATGCTTACTGGTAATTTACAGTACATTGTACTAATTAACACTAGGTTTATATTAAATTACATTTTCGGGAAAAAATATTGAGTATAATTTATTTATTTAATTTTTTTAAAAATATTTACATATTTAGTCATACAGTAAATGATTCCTAACCTTATGCGCACCACGAACTTACCTTATAATCAAACTATGTAAAAAAAATGCTCATGTGAAAATGTGAAAACTTAAGTAAATCATAAAACCACTCTATTTGGACATATACATGTAGATAAAAGATAATCGAAAATTTTTGTTATACTGTATATCGATATAAAAATCGACGAGAATCAGGAATAATAAAAATAATTATCGTTTGTTACGAGCGTTGGCTGTTGAGGATAAAATTCATGCACATACAACGGATATTGTATTTCTGGCATTATCGTTTCATGAAGTAAATATGGATTTGAGCTATTCTCTAGAAAGTTGTATTGACAAAAGCTGGGATCCGTGCCCAAGCCTGAAGTAATGAAACTTGGTGTCCCCATATATTCTGAATGTTGTTCAGTGAATTCGTGTGGAAAAAAATGAGTCGTTTCAGGAGCGTAGAAATACGTGGCACCATCATTAGTGGGAGAATAGTTCAAAGGTGTGTGTTGTTGACTTGGAATCCCCGTTTCGATAAACGACGTATCTGTTACCGGGGAATCAACGGGTGAATCGGTGTTAAAATTCGGGGTTATATGCATCCAAGTTCCGGTGCGAACTTTGGGTTGCTGGCGTTTCTTTCGCGGTATTTTGTTTGAGAAGAGCCGTAAATGGCAGCTCTTTGCTTCATTTGCTAGACGCCTATACTCTTCTTTGACCGCCTCTGGCTCTTTCTTCCAAGAAGCCGAGGCCAAAGATGAAGCCGTAGTCATGGACAAATAATAACCTTTGCTGTGAAGTTCGGATACGAAAGCTTTTCTGTATATCATGAAAGCGTTCGGAGAACGCGAAGGCACATCCCCATTCCTCCTGTTAGATACGAGATCTGATAAAGATATCATGGGAGGGAAACGGGGTTTGATGAGAGCGGCGCCGGATAAAAATTCTTCGCTGTCGTTCGTAAAATGTTTCATGATCAGAATATTTTTTTTTCTCTATATCTATATTCTATATTTATTGCACAGCAAAGGTGGGCTTGAACATTTTTTCGGAGTAGGGAGATTCACGGTGTTTATATCTGAAAATTTTTTCTTGTAAACAATATTTTGACTTGTTTTCTTTTTTTTTCTACAAAGACAAGATCTGGAGAGAACTAATGAAGTCGGTAACAAATGCTTTAAAGATAAAGTAAATTAAAAGTACACAAATTGTATGTCCCAATATGACGGAATTGCTTGCATTGGCGATGCACCTCTTTAATGTATGAAGCGTTGACCCTGAACAATACTTTCGT